TAGAATAATAGGCAATTATATGCACTATAATAAAAAATCCTTCAGTTTAGATATTACTTAAAATATTTTATTTATTTTATAGAACAAGCATTTCTTATAAGATTCCAAATATTAATCATTCATAAATATGATATATTTAGATATAATTATGAGAAAAATACTAAGGTGATGTTTACTGGAATTTTATGAAATTTATTACCTCAACAAGATATGTGTTGGTTTAACAAGTTTTTAAATAGATTTAATGCTACAGTTTTTTTAAATTAAAAGGAGCACTCTCTTGCTTATATTTAGTCCTTCCTTCATAGATTTATACACTTGTAACACCTTTTCATCAAAATTAATAGAATTTGTCAACTGTAGTAATGATACTTAGAGAACAATAGACTTTAATTTTACAACTTAAAGTCTTATAGTATAAGACAAAATCTTCACTTATGATAGTTTAACAGAATAGAAATACTTTATTTAAATTTAATCAAAATAATTTTACATACAAATTCTTGATTAACAATTTGAATTAAATATATTTCTATACTCTTTGTTAACCTTTTCGACTTAAAACCAAAAAAAACTTAGTTATTTCTTCATTATGAACTATATTAAGTAGTATTAAAAGAATTAATATATTATTGCTTGTAATTGTGGAATTAAACTCAAATTCAGTTCAAATTCATATGAAATTTAAGCTCAGAATTAACAGCTCGGTTTGTTAATATTCCATTATAACTACTTAAAATAATTCAAGATTTGTTTCATTTAACTTATCTATGAATTATTTAATGTATTCAAACTTTTAAAATAAATTTGTCTCAATAATAATTGTTGGTAAATTCTCCTTACAACTACAAGACCAATATATTTTTTTGATAGAATTTGAATTTCTTCATCATATTTTTTGATTTCTAGTTTTTTTCCTTTTGATTCTATGTCATTTTGGATTGATTCTACTTACTGATCAATCTATTGAAGCAATTTTTCAAGTTCTGTTTTAATGTAATTTTTGAATGACTTTAGCTATAATTATAATTATTTTTAATTATTGAGTCTTATAAGGTTGTATTCCTTTGCAAGTTTTTAGGATTTTGTCTTCATGCTTTATTTCATTTCACCAGCTTCTTTAAGCAATGTAATATTTTCTTTATCTACTTTTTCTGCTAGGCATCTTGGGCATAAGTTATTGTCATCAATTATAGTCTAGGATTTCAAATCAATTGCTACTATGTCTAATTTTTGGACATAATAGAATTTTTTTTTCTATTTCTAATGTTTGCATAAGATATTTTGATTATTTAATTAATTCAAAAAATTTCGAAGTATTAATTGTGATTTTTAAAGTGAAATCATTTAATATAAAGAAATGATTAATAGAAAAAGTTTAGATAATATCAACTAACAACCACAATAAATCTAATATTTGATCTGATAATAGAAGAGCTTAATAATTTTTATTTAGATTGTTGGCTTGTTTTAAGTTTATTTCATTTAATAGGAAAAAGGAACAATTTTTTTTCATTTCTTAATCACAATTAATAAGTAGGTGAAATTATTTAAAGCTGTTATAAAATTGTTTAAAAAAATGTTAAATTGTTGTTTCCAAATGGACAATATACGAAAAAATTTCAATTAAAGTAATTACTGTTCTAAAACATAGATTAAGTTTCCTAAAAAAAGTAGCCATGATAATTATTGCAAAAGAATTTATGGCAGATGCAATAATGGAAATTCATTAAGCAAAGATAATAGTGGGTTTCAGCAGAAATGATACTTTTTTTTCTTTCAACAGTTTCAATTATATGACTGAACCTTAAGCGCAGAAATAAAATGATTTGATGCTTTTAAGTTCATATGATTTCCCTAACTGAATAATTTTGCCTTTTTAAATTTATTTATAATATAAAATCATCGTGCATAATGAACCAAAGTAACACGATTTTCGATTATTCAATCTCCTGATTAGTTTTAAGATTAAATAAATAGAATAATAGGCAATTATATGCA